GACGTTTCGGATTCTCACTCGAATCCATCATCAGAGACATTCGCAGATAAAGGTGATGATGGCACAAGGAGTGCAGTATTTATGGCACATGGCTGCCGCGGGCCCATATTCGACACTGTAATTAACAGCTCTCGCAATCACCGCTGGGGTCGTAGTTGATGCGGTGATGACTTGTCAGTCCGAGTCCGAGTCGCTAATGGCTGTGATTTCGTCATCCGTGCTGGATGCTGGTGTGACGATGGCTCGGCAAACTGGCTCAGTGTCACAGGGAGGGCACTCCAACCTACGGACTGGCAAAGTGGCTGTACCCGCGAAACTTTGTCAACTAAAACTTTGTCAGCCAAAAGACCCGCTGCTACGGCAGGAAACGTCTGGAGTCGTTTACCGGATCTAGTTTACTTGCGGACAAAGCAACTATGCCGGAGAAACTGGGAGATTACTCCGTACGCGAATTGCCGAGCACGCAGCAGCAGTGAGGCGGGGAGACGCTAAATCTCAGGTGGCGGCACACTCGACGGGACCCGGCCATATTTTCAAATTTCAAGAGGCCGAAATCCTCGCAAGGGATGACAACCGCGTGAGCCGCCAGCTGTTCGAGTCATGGTTCTCAGGCCCGCAATCCATCAACAAGCACAATGACCTCCCGGTACCATATTCCGTGCTGCGATTTTCCCTGGGCAGGAGTATCAGTCACGTGGGGAGGTCGCGGGCCAGCAATGACCACAGTGACAGTGAGCCAGTTTGCCGAGCCATCGTCACACCAGCATCCAGCACGGATGACGAAATCACAGCCATTAGCGACTCGGACTCGGACTGACAAGTCATCACCGCATCAACTACGACCCCAGCGGTGATTGCGAGAGCTGTTAATTACAGTGTCGAATATGGTCCCACGGCAGCCACGTGTTATAAATACTGCACTCCTTGTGCCACCATCACCTGTATCTGCGAATGTCTCTGATGATGGATTAGAATGAGAATCCGAAACGTCAGGCCAATAAATTTCTTGTTCCTGTGATCGCATCTCCATCTTCTGCATTCTTCATCCTGTTAAACAGGAAGGATTTGCATTTACAGTAGGTGGGCTGACTCATGAAGAGTCAACGGAAAGTTCGAAATGCGTTTTCGTTTGAAAAATATAAATTAAGTAGATTTGTAAAACTAGTTATACTGCAACATAATTCTATAATATTTCAGTTACCTCAGGATGCTGGCTTTCGAATGAACTTCTTTCCGACTGCATGCAAAAACTACACTCTACAAAAAGTGAATACGTACGTAGCATGATATTTTCTCTCTGATTTTCGATTCTCCTAAAAGTCCAATTATATTTCATGGAAAAGATGCATCAAAATATACATTCTTTTGCTCATTCGGTAGACAATTACGTCTTCTTACAATATCATATTTGAAAGAAGGGTATAATTCGATTTTAAACAACGTTTCCATTTCCCGTAAAGTTTTATACCCGCTCTACAGTTACACTTGAATTCAGGGTTTCCAACCTACAAGCCGTATATTTTCCAAGTACGGAAAACCTCACATTTCTCTACGGTAATAAAGGCGACTACATAGGGTTCATAAAATTTAGCAGTGAATTTGATCCCTATCGTTAACTTTACAAGCCACAGTGGTAAATACAGAGACATGATGATTAATGAACGGCCATTTCACGGTAGTTGTAAGTCCCACAATCAGGAACTTTTTTAAAACAGAATTATGTCCCTCCTTCGAGCATAAAGCTAGAAGAAAACGTCATTTTCTACCGACTGAGCAAGAGAATAAGTATTTTTTTATACATGTTTTCTATGAAATATAGTTGAATATTTAAGGGCATCGAAAATCGATGGGAAAAATGTATGCTGCTTAAGCTGTTATTTTCACAGAGTGTAGTTTTTGCATGCGGTCGGAAAGGAGTTTATTCGTAAGCCGGCCTCCTGAGGTAACTGAAATGCTATCGAATTATGTTGCATTCTGATTAGATCTACAATCCTACTTAATTAATCTTTTCCAAACGAAAACGCATTTCGGAATTTGAGTTGACATTTCATGGGTTAACCCACCTACTGCATATCACTAGCACCACAAACATACGTAACGGTGTCGCTTTTTAATAGCTTTGACATTCATTAGCGCAGATGATGCGAAACAGTAAACCAACCGCCGGGAAATCGTTGTTACGAAGTAAGTCATGCCGACAACCATCATGTTTACACTGGGAAACCTAGTGTTCTGGTTCAGGGCATTGAAGGCTTCCGTATGGTAACGATGGGTTTTATGGTACTCCCAAGCGTATGAGATCTGAGCCACAAACCGCCTTTGTGTGAAAAGCTGGCATGCTGTGTAAAGGGCCTGGTCGTGTGGGGCACGCCCAGGTGGACTCTTCAGCCCTGTCAACCACCTGCATCCAATTCCTGCATCAAATGATCGACCTGATGGAGCAGTGGACTGATACGTGAGAGAAGGCAGAAAAAATGAGTTCGTCAATGGGGACGCCATCTTAACGGCACATTTTCTTCACTATAAATAGACTGACGCGCTTTTAAACTATCCAGAGACGCTAGAAGCCGTGGCTTGGAAGGCTGCCAGCGGACAGATTAACACGGTTCTCCCCGGATGAATAGTCAGGCTAAAGTATTTCCTTCTTCGTGTGACTTGTATGGCACTCGAACTCAGTTAGGAGACGAGAGTCACCCCTATCGTTTTTGGCAGTACCTGATCGATCTTGCGTGGACCAGGTCTGTGTGGCACATATAGGTGGGTTGTTTAGCTTTGTCAACCACTGCGCTCGATCACGCCTTCGATCCCCTTATCCCTGTCTATACGCAGGACGCATGTGTTCGAGTCAAAAGGCCAGTAAGCTTGTGCTATGCCAATATCAACAAACCATAGTCCTCGCAGTCTAGAATGCGCTGGCAGTACCCTGACACCTGGTTCCCTACAGGTAGATGCGCTTGCGCTCTCGCTAGATACATAGGTGCTGGGCATAGCTGCCCAGTCATCCTCATCGATCTAGCCACTGTTAAGGTGTTGTTGTTGTTGTTGTCGAAAAATCCTGGTCAAGTGTATGTTGTGGATCAGGGGGTGTCGTGGCACGCCTAGGTGCGGATCCGTCTGTGTCAGTCATCTGCGCCCTCCCTCGCTTCTAGTCTTCTTGACGCTGTCTTGACACCGTGTCAGGGTGAGGGAGGAGAGAGTGCGATAGATGACACGCAAGCCTATCATTGCTATAAACTAATTCGACGATCGAATTGTCTTCATGTGCTTGGATGGGGAGGGAGCGCGGTAGATTCTGCCAAAGGTTACTGTCAGTCTAAACTAATACACGCCCAAGACACCGTGTTTGCGTCCGCTACACTGGCTGCGACGATCCTTGTGTCACCATTACCCTTATCTGCTACTGTCTCTGATGATAAGTTGGAGTGAGAATCCGAAACGTCAGGCTAATAAAGCTCTTGTCTCAGCCATCGTGTCTCCTTCTTCAAGACGATCGAACTGTCACGGCGACGAGCGAAGGATAATCTAGAAGTATTGGCAATAACTGAAGTGACACTTCCGGCTTACTTGTTGCTCTCAGTCGTCCAGTCTCTAACCCTCGGTCGGCTCAACTTGACCAATAAGTTTGACGTGGCCCGATTTTGATGGTTGTTCGATGGTTGACATTCGAGTCGTTAATCGTCACAATTTCATGATGGGTGTTGGATGCTGGTGTGATGACTGCTCGACCATTTGACCTGCTGACACTGGAGTTGAAAACGGCCGTCTCCTGTACGCTTCCTGCGAGGCTAGATATTCCACCCAGACTGTTAAAGTTAGGCATCCGGGGCAGTTGCGGACCAAGCAACTATGTCGGAAAAACCAGAAGACTGCTCCTAACGCGAATGGCCGAAAACACGGCAACAGTGCGGAGAAATGATATCACCTCTTAAGTTGCGGCCCACTCGACGGGATCCGGCTACACATTCAACTTCAACGAGGCAGAACTTCTCGTGACAATCACATGAGACACGAGCTGCTCGAGCCATGGTTCACTGACCTTCATCTTATTAGCGGGTGCAGTGACCTTACGTCTGCATAGTCTAGGTCAGATAATTAGCCACGCGGGAAGCGGAGAGGTGAACACTACTCCCAACGCCAGGGTCGGTGGGTCAGATGGTCGAGCGATCATCACACCAACACCCGACGCCCGTAATGAAATTACAACGCCTAATGACTCGAATTTCGGCCATCAGACAATCAACACACCAAGTGCAACAATCTCCGATGAAGGAGGGGGGAGGGGGACCGTGGATTTTCATAGGAATGCGGCAGCATGGCGACTGTATCCTATAAATACTGCAATCCCTTGTGTATGAACCACCCATATCTGCTCTTTTCTCTGATTATGGGCTCAAGCAGAAGTCCGAAACGTCAGGCGAATAAAGTTCTTGTTCCAGTGATCGTGTCTCCGTTTTCACTTATGTGTATACCATAATATTAAAGTTTGTCCTGTGCTCAAGCAGCATGGTGGAGATCCCATAACTTTGTGAGGAAAGAGGAAGCACGCGTCGTCGAAGTCAAGGCGTCGTTTTCTGTCCGACATTGGGTTGAACAACGTCAATCAGTTAAGAGCCGCAGCCTTCTAAAGACTGCCAAATGCAAACCTGTGGGTTTTGTGACCTGTTAGAGTAATATTTTATTTATCCTGAACTATGCCGGTCCTTGGCTTCTCATATAACGTCAGATAGGGGTGAAGGGGGCCCTTCAGTGTCGCCAAGAAAGACATACTCTCACTGGTGGCGATGATGGTTCAGAGTGCGACCGCAAAACTACGAACAGGTATATGTATATGCGCCACGTTCTTGTTCTGGAACTTGCTAGCTTCTCAGCTGCCAAGTTTCGAGTTAAGAGCCCGTTAGAGATCAGTCAACACAGGGGATGAGTATTTTAATTAAAGAAACTTCATTATTAGGAAGCATCGAAAAATGTATGCATTTAAATATTTCAGGCAGATGACGAGTCTAGGTTTTAAAAACTTTTTTCAGTTCCTCAAGGCTCAGGTCACCGCTCTTATCGACGTCGAGTTTGTCAAAGAAGGCTCGAAGGTTGGCGTCGTTGACCTTGCCTGACTGAGCTTCCTTTTGCATGGCGGCTTTGAATTCGGCAAAACTTATTTTTCCAGATTTGTCGGTGTCCATGGCATTGAAGGTTGCCAATGCCAGTTGACTTATGCCCGCTTGACAACTGGTAGATAAAAAAAGAATTAGCTTTCTCAGAACATATTCCAACGTACCGTCTGTATGCAAATTATGTACAGCTCTTTCTATGCCACAATTTCACTCAAATCTCATGCATGTCTCTGATTCATCGATATGGTCTAACAGGGATAGGACAACTTTCACAGATCCCTCGAATTACCACCATTTTAGCTTAAAAAATAAAATCCCAGAAGAAGTTTATTTCGCAGAACAGCCTTAAAAGCCAAAAATTCACCGCGATAAAGTCATTCGTAAGCTGGATTGTGTTAACAGTATTGTTTTAGTTACTATTTCCTAAGGGTACACTGGACTTTTTACTCTGCCAAAAAGCATGCTACGTATGTCGTACTATTTCAATAAAACCATATAAACACATGGGCGCTTACCTCATTTTCGGCTAGTTTATAATCTGAAATAAAAATAGAGAGATTAAGGGAGGCCTTTAAAATGACAATTCAGCATAAATAATACGGATTAATTCCAAAAGAGCTTGATTAACAGGCGGAATGGTTGACCGTTTAACGGTTAACCGAATACCATTTGAGCTTTTTGGGGCTCCACTGAACAACTAACTGACTCAGTATGGATACAGCATATAACATTGCGGACACCGACAAAGCAGATGATAACGTTGTACCTGAACAGTTTTGACAGGCTAAATCATATCATTCAGCCATCTGTTTTTTATTCACTGCGTAGACACCCTCTTCCTAATGATTCTTCTGGGGATACAAGGCACAGGAAAGGGATAAGCTTCATAAACAAAATCCCCCATATTTGATCATTTGGAGTGCTGAAAGTTTTTAAGTGTTTATGCACAGTTATTTGCACGAAGTTTAGCATTAAAATCCCATTTGGTAAATTCGTCCACATCCTCATGCAAATATGCCGACAGACATTCAACAGTAAGTATGGAAGGGGACCAAACATTGAAATTTCACTGCAACTTTGCAGTCGTAAGTGGTATTGTAGCGGATTTGTTTTGGTATTTCAAGAGTATCTCTTAATGTCAAGGTTATTTTAGTGGGAAAGGTATCGTTTTGATCCCATTCATGTTAAATCCTCGACTTGGACCCCGTGAAAACCAAGGGTCAAAAGCTGCTGAAAAAGTAATACAGAGTATCGAAGGACAAATGTAGGCAGAAGGAACCAAAAGACATCGCCCTAGCGCGTTCCTACAATTCATAATGTACAGCCAAGTCAACATTTATATTTCGACTAATTGTTGCATCCAAATACACATGTAACATTGGCCGATTAGATTAATTTCAAAGAACTCGAGGAACTTGGTAGAAGGCCAAAAGTACAGCTGTGTTTGCGATGCAGCACATTGGCATCTTGAAATAATTGCACATTTTGACGCCTTCTGTACAGTAATGTACGTCCATACTGAACTGGTCATGACAAGAATCAGTTATCTTTGGAAAAAGGAACGACGAAGAAGCAACACACTTTCTAGAAATAGGCACGAGATTTGGCAAGTAAGTCATGTCCAGTGGACAAGTCCACGGGCATATCCAAGAAATGCTGGGATTACTGGTCTCCGAGTGCGTTACTAAAGTTGTTCTGGAAAAACTCAAAACTCCTGTTTTCCGCTCCTGAAAAGCCAGTTCAGTTCACATATATTTTTAGTGATTCACCATCAGGCTAATAGAATTACACAAACAACAGAAATATAGGAGGTCGACAAGGCTTATGAGCATCTCAGATAATCATAATTAGAATCGTTCCCCCGGCAACCGCATAAGGAGGTCGGCATGTTGCAGTCATTGCGACTTGGGGAAGGGGAGGGGGGTGAAGCAGGGTGTGAGCCCTGTTTATAGGTCAAGTTCGTGAAATACACATCACTATCATCAGGGGTTGGATCGACGTCCGATCACTCCCCTAAAACGCTTGGACCAACTCCTTTTGACCACAAATCATTAAATTCGCTACCCGTATGATCCCTGCCTCGGCTGTTGCAAGTACTCCTCGGCGTAGGTACTTAGAGTAGTATACAATTGCGTGACTATTTACCATACCGACAGCGTAGATGCTAGTTAAAATGCCCAGATCCTGTGCCGCCGTCTGACGCGGCTGCGAGGGATTCGGTTCATCAGTGGGTCCCCCAATATTCTTCGTGTGTTTTTTGGTATAGGCACTACAGTTTCATCTTGTCTTGCTTAATTTATGAAAAAATTAACGCGCGAACTTGAACTAAATTTTTCGAAACAGACTTTTTCAGGCACGATGTGAAAGTTGATTTGAATATTTGAGCTTAAATCCACTGCTGGTTTCCTTTCCGCCGACTCGGTGATTCGTGTGGACTAAATGTGCTAGAATGGAACTACAAATAGGTAGATTTTCACATCTGTTTAACCAGGTAGGTACGGGTTTGCGTGCCCTTTTGATTGGGTGCCCCGTTGTGCGGTCAATTTAGTCCAGTACGCAGGAGTAAGCGAATACGTAAGTGACCAAGGGGTGACCTCTGACGGTCGTCGGTCTTTAACTCCCAAAAGGAGTTTGGTGAAAAATACGCCTAAGTAGGCCGCTGGAAGCATTCACGATAACGGCCTTCAGACGTCGTCCTACTATTTGACATGCTGCACCGCTCTAGAAGAGGCGGTCTTAGAAATACATCCGTTATTTCAGCATTTGTTGCGGCAGCCTACACAGTACACTTCCCAGTAATGCGGAAGAGGAAGACGTGTTCCTATGATTGCCTGTCGGCTGTGCCCTATTTCCCATTAATTATAAACAGTTTATAGATATTTTGGCAGATTTTGAATAATTCATATTGACCCAACTGTGAAAAACTCGGCGCATCGGTGGGATTCGAACGCACGCAGTAAGGGGAAGGCTTTAGAACAGCCAACGCTCTAACCACCTGAGCTACGAGGCCCCACCGGACGACGCGAGTTTAATCACATTTGGGTCAAGTTACCTGCGTGGGTTCGAATCCCACCGAGGCGCCGAGATTTTCGCAGTTGAGTCAATATGAATAAACAGTTTAGAAAATAATTACGCACAATCTCAAAGTACACGGAAAGAAAATGGAATCATTCGTTAACTTTCACGCACCTTGGTCCGCAGGGTCGTCAACTAATGCTTTACTTTCAGTCCACCGTCTTTATAACAGCACTACCTTGCTGTACCACTGCGATTGACTTATCCGCGGTTTCCATTGGTCAGTATGGGTGCAAGGTCACCATGCACACCCTGGTGGGTAGGTGCGCACTCAACAGCCGGAATTTACATGTTGACCACCTGCCTGTATCGGAACATCCATGTGGTACTAGGTGCTCCTCTCTAAACTAGGGGTGATGTGGTGAGAGAAAAACAGTACGGAGACCAAACAGAGCTTGACACATGACAGGTCGTCAAAACAAGAACCCCAGTCCAGGGGTGCGCTGTATGTGGCTCATCCGTCTCGATGGAAATGAAACAGCGGTTACCGCCAACTGGTACCTGTGACACTGCTAAAAGTACACCGTTAAATGCGGTGAAAACACTCAATTTTTTGTCCTAGTCCAAATCCAATCGATCACACTGTGGGAAAAAACCAATCAAATAGAATAGATTGGTAGTATTTTCAATCTAAACGATGGTTGGCGACAAAGTTAAGAAGTTGACTTGTATCTGCGAATGCTTACTGAATTCTGATATCTTATGACACAATTGAAAGTCGTAGAACGTGGTCCAAACACAACGATAATCATACGACACATACTTAAAATTGGCCAATTAAATGTTTAAGGATAATGGATAATCATCCAAAAGGAGCCACTTTATTCTTTGAATGTCAAAGAGTGTCGGCTAAAGATTGCGAAAATTCAAGTAGACAATTAAAATTTCTTTGATGTATTATTGGCTTTCATCGCATTCCGCTCATTGTAAAAATACGGCTTTCATTTATTCACGAAATTATATCAACACATTTAATTAATTAGTGTGTCGACTGGCTAAGTAAAATGCACAACGAAGAGACAGTGTTGTCTTATCACTTATATAATATGGCGACAACTTAATTCGCAACAGTTGGTTCGCCCACATCCATAACATCAAATGGAAATCGATTTTTTAGAAGTTGCTGTCGATATGTTTGTCCAGACATTACCAGCTCAACAATTTCTGATTGAGATTGTAGGTCGTCGTATGTTTCCTATCTTTTAGAACCAAGGAAAAAGCCTGGTCGTGCACTAGAACACTGTCTATTTTTCTGAGCCTTCGAACATGTTTAACAGTCAATCATCATAGACAGTTGCAGCAGCAGGACAAACGATAATTATAGGGTGGGCTGGCCAATCTTTGATCGATGACGCAGGGCTCTGTACGCTGGCATCAAATCGATAAATCGATTAGCGGAGTTATCATTGGAGGAACAGACTTCAATCCATTCTCGCCCTGTTCAGTTTATAAAGTGGGCGATAATAATGTATTTCGATCAGGCTATTTTTAAGCGTCAATAATGTATTACATCAAGTATTTTAATTCTCAAGTAATTTCAGTTTCAGTGACTCGAAGATGGAATGTAATAGTCTCTGGAATTAGCATTATTTACATGTTTCGTTAACAACAGCACATTTTCACTTCACCTGCAGTACCGCGGTAGCAAATGTTGTAATTCCGACTACCGGATTTACTCACCCTGAATATTTAAGCAATCTAACTGTTATGGAAGTCTTCTTTAATCCAAGCATTTTGCAGGATGTTGAGGTGGATGTCCTATTTAATAATGGACATTCCAACCTAACATTTATGATCCACTAAAGGAATACTCTTCTTCCATTAGTTTTCTAGCAATATGATTGCAGCTGTTCTCAGAGAAGTCAATCTGGTCTGCAATGGTGTTCAATTTCTAGCCCTCAAAAATGTGTGACAGCTTAGTTTCCTAACTAACTTTTACATATGTTGCTATGAGGAAAGCGTAGTTAGCAAATTTAGCCAATTTTGAGTAGTTTGTTTTGACCCACCTGCGATACACTCGGCGATCACGGTAGGCTTCGAACCCACGACAGCAAAGTGATGGCTTGAGTATAACCTACCTAGAATGCGATTAGACTCGCGAACACAGGTGGAGCCTGGACGCCCAGGTTTCTAGGGCGTTGACCGTACTCTTGTTCTCCCTTTGGAGTTGTGGGGCTCGAAGCCCACCAAAGTACCCGGGATTTTCGCAGGTGCTCCCAAACAAATAAACGGAACTGCAAATTTTTATATCGTTAACAGAACAAGACGCCAGTCGATCTTTGGAAAAGACTGAGACATTTACCGTTCATCCGAGTGAAACACTTCGCTCGCTAATTGCTTGCATACTGTAAGTTACTATTAGTTTTATTCGGTTTAATGGTCGTCTTCAGGGCATGCAGCAAGTCAGAGGTTAAGTTTACTTTCCCTTCTATATTCATAATTCAT